GCTTTTAAGCAAGTGGGCCACCAATTGCAAGGGGAATGCTTTTGAGTAAAGCAACTTATAGCTTATTTTCTGGGAGGGGGGGCTGGGGGCTTGCAATTAATGTGGTCCCCTAAAAGAATGACATTATTGTGGTTCAGTGGGGTTTGTGAGGGGCACCCTTGTCCTGATTGTTGTTTGTTTGCATTTTTTAACACGGTTTAATAAAGAGTTTGCAGTTTCAGGGCTGGGGATGGTTTTCAAATTTCAGAGGTTTCAGCTGGCTTCGGGTTCTGTGGTTGAGCAACCAATTGATTTGGGGTCAACATGGATTTTTGGTGATTGTTTGGGGGGGGGATGGTTGTTTTTCAATTAAAATTGTTTTGCGGAGTTGTTTTTGGAATTTTCCACCGGGGCAAACAACTTTCAAGCATTCTGGCCCCCCTAAACAATGGGTGCGAACCAGAATAAGGAAAAAACTTGCAATTATTGACGCCCGGTTGATTAATCAAGTGCCAACATTAAGGCGTCTCATGTGATAGCTGAAATTTGGTACTGGTTGTTGGAACCGCGTTGTCAGCACAATAACGTGAACTTCATGTTTGTTTCAGCAGAGAAGGCAGCCTTTGCATTTTGCATAGCGCGCCGGAAAAAGTTTGCTGGCGTGGGTTTTGACCAAGGCAGAACAACGGTGAAGTTCCAAACTCCAAAGAGTTCCTGAAGCTGCATGAGGACGGGCGGCTTGGGGCTCCTCGTGGGGTCTTCCTTTGTCACCAGAGAGCAGCCTTGGCAGTTTCAGTAGTGTGTACACGGATGCAGACCCAGCTGATTCAACTTGCCTAGCTGTCCTTCGCATTTGATGCAGGTGAAGAGCTGGTCTAGTTTGGCACTGCTCGGAGTCGGCCTCGTATTGGTTTTGTATCAGCTCATTCAGTGGTGGTTTTGGGTGGTTTTGGGTGGTTTAGGTTTTTAGCATGCGCTTGGACATTCCGGATGTTGCTCCAGTTGCTTCTTAGTACTGTTTTGGATTAGCCCTGACTTGGTTGGTCCTGACTTGGCAACTGTCGCCAGGTAGCCGCATGTTTTCGGTATATAAGGCTCTTATCACACTGTCAAATGTTGTTCCTGAGGATCCTTTGAGGTGGTTTCAGGCCGTTTTGGAGTGACCATGCTTTCATAGTATTGTCTCAGGTGGGCTGTGGGCTTTGATTTTAGATATTTCAGCATGCCGTAATTGGGAAGAGCTGAATTGATTTTTAGATAGCAACACACACACGTACATAGTATTGGCAAAACCTGATCAGTTGCACTCTGTTTGGCCCCCGTGTGTTGTTTGTACTGCCTTCCCGCTTTTTGTTCACGATTTCCTCGCCAGCGTTGCCACGTTTGTCAGCCTGAGCCAGATTTCTTGGTCGCCGGTTTGCAACATGGCGTTGTGTGCCTTCCTCTCGGCCAGGACCTTGCCGCCCTGCGAGTTGCGTCAGTGAGGCAGCGGTTGCTACAAATGCGTGCGTTTGTTTAAGGGTTGGTTTAAAGGGAAACTAGAAATGAGCACCATTTTGGGGGTCCCCTAAAAAACGACACACCCTTTAAAAGTGTGTCGTGGAGTTTGAGAAGCGGGCAGCTTGGGTTTAGGCATCTCAGCAGTTTCAAGTTGTCCAAACAAGGCCAATGGAAGCACACTGGCCTTGATGTTTCAAGGCTCATCTTTGCCCCTGAAGCTGAAACTGCTTGCATTGATTTCCGGGACTACGGCTCCAAACGACAGCCCAGACAGTACCCTTGTTTGGGTGGGAGATGTTGCACCTGGCAGGGAACGGTCAACTGAGCTTAGGGCTTTGGCGTGCTGGTTGTTGCGTGCTGCTTTTGCCAGATATGGCTCCCTGGACGACTTCAGCCCAGGCCCCCAAGGGGCCTTGCAAGCATCAAACAGCGCCTGGGTTGCACAACGCTTTTCCTGCAGAGGGCGCCATGCGCTGTTCATCCATGTATTGTCCCGAAAGCTGGCCTCGAAGATGACAGAGCGGGAGTTCGGGCCCTCCATGCCCTACTGCCACTCCCCATTAAATTGGGGGCAACGTGAAAACGGGGCCAGGCCGGGCCCCCTTTTGTGTCCACAATCTCGCCCCGCCCCCCCGCGGGTTCTGTTTGGCAACCTGTTGCCCCGACATGTTGTTGCGCTTGGGTTTGCTTTCTCAAGCATCGGTGGGGGGGGGGGTACCTGGAAAGAGGACTTGTTCACAGCAGGCTGAAAAGGCAGCATTGGCACTTCTGCCCAACAGTGCCAACTCTCGGACTTTCTGAAGTTGTCAATTTGTCGCACCCTTCACAGCCGCTTGAACACCTGCATGGCCTGTGCAATGCAGTCCTGCACGTGCTGAACTGAGCTCGTAGCACGAGATGAGCAAGTGTTCTGACTAGTCAGTTCGAACAGATGTGAGGGATGTCCGCAACACCTTGGTTGGCCTGAACGCTATCGCCGGCTTCCACTCATGAGTCCTGAGCCACAAGCTATCTGCCGGGCGAGAGCTGTACCTCACCCGTCCGAGTTCATAGCCCGTCCTAACCCGTGGAGCTGGTGCCGTCTTTTAGCGCCGGGTTGTTTCTAGCGCCTGAAACGGGTGTGGTGACGAAGGGCCTAGGTATCACAGTTGCCCACCAGCCCAGGCATTGCATCCGCTGCATGGATGAGCTGCTGGGCTGATTGGGTGCCAAACTCGTGTGTGTGTGTGTGTGTGCGGTTGTTTGATGTTGTTTGATGTTGGCTGTGTTTTTGTTTGTTTGCTTGCTTGCTTGCCTGCCTGCTGCTTGGTTGCTTGCTTGATTACTTATTTGTTTTGTTTGTTTGTTTGCATGCTTGTTTGCTTGTGACAGTGCAGTGTCCTTGTTTGTCTGTTTGTTTGTCTGTTTGTCTGTCTGTCTGTCTGTCTGTCTGTCTGTCTGTCTGTCTGTCTGTCGGATTGCTTGCTTGTATGTTTGTCGGTCTGTTTGTTTGTGCTTGTGTCTGATTGTGCGTTCCTAGCCTTCATTAAAAAAAACACACAAACAACTGTTGCTTTTTCTTTCTTTCGTTCTTTATTCCTTTCTTCCTTCCTGTGCTTCTCTTTGTGTTTGTGTCTTTCTTTCTTTCTGTCTGTCTGTTTGTCTACTTGCTGGCCTGCCTCTCTCTCTGTCCGTGTTGGTGTTTGGTTGTTTTGCTGTTTGGTTGTTTGTTGTGTTGTTGTTGTTGTTGTTGTTGTTGTTGTTGTTGTTGTTGTTGTTGTTGTTGTTGTTGTTGTTGTTGTTGTTGTTGTTGTTGTTGTTGTTGTTGTAGTTGTTGTTGTTTTTGTTGTTGTTGTTGTTGTTGTTGTTGTTGTTGTTGTTGTTGTCGTGGTTGTTGTTGTTGTCGTGGTTGTTGTTGCTGTTGTTGTTGTTGTTGTTGTGGTTGTTGTGGTTGGTGTTGGTGTTGGTGTTGGTGTTGGTGTTGGTGTTGGTGTTGGTGTTGGTGTTGGTGTTGGTGTTGGAGTTGGTGTTGGTGTTTGTGTTGGTGTTGGTGTTGGTGTTGGTGTTGGTGTTGGTGTTGGTGTTGGTGTTGGTGTTGGTGTTGGTGTTGGTGTTGGTGTTGGTGTTGGTGTTGGTGTTGGTGTTGGTGGTTGTGGTTGTTGTTGTTGTTGTTGTTGTTGTTGTTGTTGTTGTTGTTGTTGTTGTTGTTGTTGTTGTTGTTGTTGTTGTTGTTGTTGTTGTTGTTGTTGTTGTTGTTGTTGTTGTTGTTGTTGTTGTTGTTGTTGTTGTTGTTGTTGTTGTGTTGTGGTTGTTGTTTGTTGTTTGTTGTTTGTTGTTTGTTGTGTGTTGTTTGTTGTTTTTTGTTTGTTGTTTGTTGTTGTTGTTGTTGTTGTTGTTGTTGTTGTTGTTGTTGTTGTTGTTGTTGTTGTTGTTGTTGTTGTTGTTGTTGTTGTTGTTGTTGTTGTTGTTGTTGTTGTTGTTGTTGTTGTTGTTGTTGTTGTGGTTGTTGTTTTTGTTGTTGTTGTTGTTG